AGAACCATCCCCCTTTTTTATTTTGAGACAGGCTGTCCCTAAGTTGCTTAGTTGCCCAGCCTGGGATCAAGCTTCCCATCCTTCTGCCTCAGCCTCCCAGGTGTGACTTTGACTCAGCCTGACTGTGGCTCTGCCCTAATCTCTGGGTCTACTTTTACACAGAAGTACAGTACTGCAAGAACTCAGTCAGTAGCTTTGATCCTTCGCTACTTGCTAACCTAAGGCTACGTGAACTCAGTACATATTTATAAGGGTTAACTTAACTGGCATTTAGATAGGAGTCAGAGAACACTTGATGGGTATTTGAATTGTTTCCAAACTTTGCTATTACAATTTGAGCCATATGAACAATCATTTGCTAGTATTTTACCTCTTTTTACTTTTGGAGAATAAGTGTAACGCCAGGTCCCAGGCCCTGGGGTGGTAGGTGTTTGTAACTATAAATATTTCCATTTCGTGCTTTTTGGGGATTGTGCCAACTTAGCATTTTCCCAGAAATGTATTCGTAGGCTGGTTTCCCACAGTCTTATCAGCACAGTGTGCTAACACCCTTTGGGGCTTGATTATCTGCCCAGAGAAAAATAGGGCCACAAACAATTTGTATTTTCTTATAGTACTTGTGCAACTTTGTATATGCTCAGCAACCATTTGCTTGGTACCTGTGAACTGTTTGCTCATTTTTGTCTAAATCCCACACATAGGGGAAGGGCCAGTTAACCTGGGCATTTATACAGAGAATGCTACACCACTACACAATCAGGAGGGTGATCTTCAAGGCTGGGAGGTGAAGAATATCTTTTGTGTAAAAAGAGTGCCCTAAGAATAATACTGATATTTTCTTCTATGTGCAAAGAGTCTGTATGGACACCAAGAAATCCCCTTCTCTGTGGTGGTGGGACTTGGGGATGGGAAAGACTTCACCGAGTCTGTGTTTCAAACAATATGAAACATTCTCTATTTAAATAAGAAAAACAGTCAAACAGCACAGAACATTGTTTTAAAACAGTCTGAGTGTCGAGTTCTACTCTAGACTCTGGGCCAAAACCAGACGCCTGTGTGCCTATTCTTCTTGCTCCGTGGGGAGATCTATAGGTGGTAGCCAGGGTCCTGAGGACAGGGCAGAACTTGTGGGCTTTTGCCAAGAGGTATTTGTGCCCATGCAGTTGTGTTCACATAGAGCAGACTTTTGGCATATCAGCACAAATGGTTCACACTTCCTGAGTTTAATGTGTGCAGTGCTCTAAAGGGATTAGCCTTGGAATCAACACAAGGGGGAGGCTGGAGTTGTCATCATGTGTCTGACGAGGCTGAAGCTCTGAGCTTGGGGCAAGGCCTCAGAACCATAAGGCGGGATCGCAGTAACTGCTCTGTGAGCAGCTGTGTGGGAAGGGCTCTGGGACTCCAAGGTCAGGGCCACCTGCCTGCCTCTGTCCTGAGAAGGCCAGGAAGCTAAGGTGGGGTGCTGCCAGTCATGATTAGCTCTGAGCACATACCAGAAGCAGTTTAGCAATCTGACAATTTGATAACAGCATCAAAGTACACAACAAGGGGAACCCTGAGCCTCACTGATGTCCCTTACACAAACATGGTTGGATATGGTTTTCACTTTGAGTTACACATGAACTGAGAGGAAAGGGCCACACTATCTTTAGCAATCATGAGCACTAAGGACCCCACCTGAACACATCAGGGACCTAGAGTTAGAAATGCCTCTGAATCAGCACTTGAGCTGTCCCTGCTTTACATGCTACTAGACCAGCCTTCTTTTCCACATTAAACATAACTCAGCAAGGGCAGAGAGAGGAATTCCAGGCTCTTCTGCTCAGACAACTGTTGTGGATGACAGCTGAGTGCTCAAGAGGAGACAGTCACCCCTGGAGAGGGCACGGGACCTTGCCTGGGGTGACATTGTGAGGCATACCAGCTCTGGGCTGCCTCAAGGAAAGGTTATATTCTACTGAGAACACAGTTCGATCACAGAAAAGTGTGCTCTACATTATTTTTTAAAAATAAAAATAGCACTTTAGAAAAGTTACTTATAACACTGCACCTCAGATTTTAGGCTAAAAACCTTACATGTAGTATCATACAAGGAAGGGGTGACTGAAAATTAGGGTGAATGTTTAAATTTCAACAGAATTGCCATAGTAAAAGACACATTGCCATTAATCACCCTCAAAATCTTCCTCATTTCAGAACTGCTCCAGACAGTAGCAAGAACGATGAGATAAGTGTGTTCAAAGTAAGGGGGAGGATTTTGAAGGGTATTAATGGCAGTGGGTCTTTTATTGTAATAAATTTTTAAATATTTAAATACATCATATTAAATTTATATTTATATGTTAAATTTAAATTTATACTCTATGTTAATAAACCCAGGATAATGTTAGAAGAATACAGCCCATTTGGAGTGGGGAGGACCAGAAAGGATTCTTACAGGACAGAATAGGAGAAGAGGCCCTGTGGGTGTGGCCCAGCTGGTGACATGAACCACATGGGAACACGGGATATATGCCCCTGCAGTCTTCCTCTCCTGAGCTTCCTGTCTTCCTTGTGGCTAACATCAAGCCCATCCCAAGCTGTCCAGCTTGGTCATGGCTGTCTTCTCAAACTCTCCTGCAGGAAGTGCACCCAGATTCACCTGGCCATTGCCATTTTGGGGACAACTACTGTTTGCTCAGGTGACCTGACCTGCATCCAGACCCCCACACACTTGAGTTGGCTGAGCATGATGCATTGGCTGTGATGGTGAGCTGTTCCTGACCAAAGCTGGGCATGTGAGTTCTTGAGAAAGGCCAGGTGTGTTTCAGGTGCCCATGTGCCACTGGCCAGCTTAGCATGTCATCACCTTCCCCCTGACTTCCTATGCTTGAGACACTGCACCCCACCCAGCATCTGTCCACCCTTCTCTGTCCTCCACATCTTCCACCTTGGGCAGCAAGTTCTTTGCTGCCAGGACCAGGTTTCTCTGAAACAGGCAAAGTGTGGGCTCCTCCAGAGGCACACTGCAGCAGCTTCCGTAGCCCCTACCCATCTTCTATCCCTGTCCCTCAGCCCCTCCGGTCCTCTCCAGCCCGAGGAACTCAACCCAGCATCAGGGGCCGCTTTGAGCTATAGCTGCAGCCGTGAAATCTGGATGAACTGACTATGTGTCCTTGTACTCTTGTTCAGGTGCCACTTTTCCACCTCCAGCAACTTGACTGTGGCTGATGGGCAGTGTACAATTTTCAGTGACTGCATCTGCCTTTCAGAGTCACTTGGGGAGGAGGTGGAATTTTTCTCATCACGCCTTTGGGCCTCTAGAAAGAACCTGCTGCTTGGTGTGTTGTTTTGGTCTTGGTTTTCTCCTTTGTTTTGGTTTTTCTCTGGTACCGGGAATTGAACTCACAACATTGCGCTTGCCAGGTAAGTGCTGTGCCACTGAGCTAAATCCTCAGCCCCTTGGTTTTCTCACAGTCTAAGTGCAGGATGAAATCTCTGTCAGTTTATCTGTCTGTCTGTCAGTCTGTGTCCATTAGTCTCTCCCTCTATTCACAAAATGTATTTGGAAAAACACACAAATATTTGTCACACTTACTTCAAATAATCAGTTTTCCTTTGACCTTTATGCATTCCCACATAGGATTCAAAAATTAATTTGTTTATTCTCTCCTCTGAACTTTATGCTTCTAAAGCACAAGGAGATTTAACCAGGCATAGATTTTAAGGTCAGGTAACACATTAATTCCCCTCACACATGATGGGGAATTCAGTGAGCAAATAAGACTCATGGTGAAGGTTCGTTATTATTGGAAACTCCAAAGTGATTATTTAACACAGTAATTTATACTCTGGCTGGTTCCCAAAGCAATTGAAATGCTTTAGATAAAGCAGGGAGGCAGAGGGTGGGAGAGAGGGCGCTAATCACTGCATGGCCATGGAGATAGGTAATCAGCCCATGCTATTAGCACCCCTGGCTTACAAAGACCTGACGGTTTCTGCCCTGAGTTGTTTGCTGCTGTGCTTCAGATAAGTGGTCCCCAGTAGCCCATCCATGCTTTGAAGGCCTGGTCCTTAGCTTGACGTTGTTGGGAGGTGGTGGGACCTTCAGGAGGTCACGCCCTACACAAGGACTGGGGACACAGGTCCCTTCCTGTCTCTCTCTCTCGACCTCCTGGCTGCCATAAGGTGAGCTGCCTCTGCCACGCGTTGCTGCCATGGTGTGCTGCCTCGCCACAGGCCCACAGGCAGCAGAGTGGATGCTTGCTGACTGAAACCTCTCTGGATCTGAAAGCCAAGATAAACCTTTTCTCCTTTTAAGTTGATTAATCCTGTGTATCTCCCAAACTGATGGAAGGTTGACTCACACTTGCCCAGCTACTTTAACTTCTTGAGGCAGGATGCCACGGCCTCCAGCTCAGAAGATCTGTCAGGAGAGCTTGCTAGGTATCCATGGAGCAACTTTTGGACCTGGCCTATGATGCTCCAGTTTGTGCCGCCATGTGTGCTTCACGTTCTGCCCTTGTTTCAGGCACACCGTTTTACCCCTCTAATAACGAAGTTGCACAGTGTGCGTGCAAGAAGACTGCTCACAGGACAGCATTAGTAGGGTTGTCCTCTGCCCATCGGAAAGGGAGGGGGTTGGGGCACCAGTATTTGGTAGTATTGAGCCAGGTAGGCAGGGTGTGGCAAAGCTGGTTGGGGGAGTAGTCACGACTAGATCCCAGGACACATGTGGAAAACAGTTCTCAGGACTCCATATATGGACACAATCATGTGAGAACCCATGATGTGTGGAATGAACAAAAAGACAATTGCCATTAAGCATTCACTATTGTGCCTCTCCAGGGTAGCCTTTCATGTGCCCCCAGGGTGTATTTTTGTTTTATATTTATATTTATATTTTTATTTTTCCTCTCTTTTACCCAGCCCAGTTTCACTCTGCAGAGCTAGTTTTTCCCTCACCCTTTACATTTAATTTTTCTTATCTCAAATAACTGTGAAATGTTACCACTGTTTTTTCTTGTTTTATTCAATTCTTTGTTTGAAATGGAAAGAACCCAGAAACCACCTCTAGAAGGAGACTCCAACACCCCAAAACCCCAAAGCGGTATGTTATGTTACTCTGTCCTATGACACGGTCTGTCTCTCGATGACATTATCTTACTGCATCTTTAACTCAGGACTCGTGATTCTATGGGTACTTGCTGTAGGAAATCATCCTTCTGAATGCACTCCTGAGCTCTGGACTCCGGAAAGCATAGATGAAGGGGTCAATGACTGCATTGCACATGATCAGCATGCCATTCACCTGAAAGAGGGACATATAGCAGGTACAGTAAGGATTGCTGGGACAGAAGGTCATTAAGAGGACATGAAGGATGAAAGGGGCCCAACAGAAGATGAAGACTCCCAGCAGGATGGTCAGAGTGATGGCTCCTCTCATGTTGGCTCTGGGAAGGGTGGCAATGTCCCTGGCATGGGAGCGAGCCAGCAAGAACATGTGTACATAGAGGCAGAGGATAAAGATTAGCATCAGTGGGAACAGTGACGTGAAGGTGAGCACCGTGGGGACATGATGGGAGAAGAGCACCATGGTGATGCCACTCCCAATGCAGAAGGTCCAGATGATTGCTAGGGCAGCAGTGGTGCGGCGCATGGTCACAATGCTGTGGTACTGCAGGGCATGGAAGATGGTGATGTAGCGGTCAACAGCAATTGCCAACAGGCTAAAGATGGAGCCAAGTAAAGAGAGGATGAACATGGTGTCAATGATGTCATCTGCTGTGGTTTCAAAACTGCCACGAGGCTTGAGGTAACCCATGTTTCTGAACATGATCAGGATATTTTCCAAGATCTTATATAGGCTGCCCAGCATGTCAGAAATGGCCAAACTACAGATGAAAAAGTACATGGGGAACTGGAGGTTCTTATTCTTGATCACAGCCAGGAGGACAATGAGATTTTCCAAAACCCCAATGATGGAAATTATGAAAAATATCTCTTCTGGCATAGCCACAAGGGGGCAGTCTGAACTGTTTCTTGCTGTGCCATTTACATTTCCATTTGAGTGGATAATGTGCTTCATTTCTCCTAGGGTTAATGGAAAACTTGGTTCTCTGGTCTCACAGAGAACTTGGTTGGTTCTTCGGAATATCTTCCTCTTTGTAGCACTTGCTGGAAGTCTGAGGATAAAATCACCCAACTGCCTGAAAGAGAACATGCAGAAATGTCCATTACAAAGTAGACTACAAAATTTTAAAAAGCCACATTTTCTTTAAGATAACTCAATACCCTCTATAAATATCATAGTAGCCATTTCAGTAAAACAATTTACTGACCTTTCATCTTAGCCCTTTGTGAATGATATCTTCAGGGCAATTTTGAGCCCTGAGATAATGATGAAGGCAATTTTGAGCCTGATATAATGATAAGGGGCATTCTCTCTCCTATTCTCTCCCCTCTGCTCTTCCTAGGAAGGCAAGGGTGTGTGTATGTGATAGGTCAGAGAAATAGCAGCACCAGCTATGACAGAGAGATGCAAAGGAAGTGAGAGGTGGCATCAGGAAAACGCAGGCCACCCTTCTCTGACTTGGGGGTGGTGATGAGGTCGTAGGTAGATGAAACAGTCTGTCCTTTTGTCTTCATTGTTCATCTTCTTGGGCCACAGCCTGTACCTACAGCTGTGGGCTAATGGCATAGTGTTGATGAGCCACTCAAAGGATGACAGTGCCACAGATGCTATTATCTGTCCCTCAAGAGCTCTCAGAAACTGGGTGTCGTAGTGCACATCTGTAGATACAGCTACTCAGGAGGCCTCGGCAGGAGATTACTTGAGCTCAGGAGTGAGGGACCAAGTTGGGTAACTTAGAAAAGTACCATATCAAATAACAAAACAAAACAAAATAATCTCTCAGCAGTGTCATGTCAGGAGACAGAGTTGAATTATAGCAGTAGAAATGTCTACTTTTCTCTCAAGCAGAAAAAAAAAACCAATGGCTTACAGAGGCCTGCTTAGCAAGAGAATTGGAATCTGTGCTGATTAATTTTCCAGAAGGTGGCACTGGTAGCAGGTTTATGAAATGTATCAAAATTGCCTTGCTGTTGTGGTGGGTTTAGACATGACACCCCTTCTACACACTTCTCTTCCTTGAGGCAGAGCTAAAGCCCTCTGCAGGAAAGTGGGTGGGAAGTGGCCCTACATCCTGAAGTAAGCTGAAGGGACACAGAGTCTGAGAGTACAGCTGTAGGTACAAAGCCGTCAAGTCCTTCCTGGAAAGGAATCAGTCTCCTTGTGAAGGAGGAAGAAGTGGGTCAGGCTTGGGGAAAGTTTGTGAGCAAGGTAGAAACTAGGAAAGAGTGGCCAGCAGTGTTCTAAGATGGCCAGCTTATCACTGCTTTCTAAGACTGTGCAGGTTCTTAAAAAGAAAGCTGGATTTTTTTTTGAGTCCTAATGCTGAAATATATCAATGTGTGGAAGAGAAGAAGGAGGGAAGTGGGTCCCTGGGACCCAGCGAGGATTTGAAGCAATAAATGGAACTTACAGGGAGAGAAAAGAGAGGGACCTCAAGCCAGAAGAGGGAGGTGGCAAGCTGTCCTTTCTCCTTCAGTCCTGGCTCATGGCAGGGGAAAGGTGGCTGAAATCTGCCCATAGAGGCATGATGACTACTGGTGACTCAAAAGGCCTCCACAGAGAAACATACCAGTGGAATAAAGCACTGGACACTGTGGACTGCAGTGGACACTGTGGACTTCAGTGGCTGGTGAGTGATTCCAATCCAGTCTGAGCATCCCCAGGAGAGGGAGATTGGCAAGTTTCCATTTTGGAAAGGGGCCAAGTGAACTTAGAACTCAGATCAGCAGTGTGTTGGCTCCTTTTTAGGACTCTCAATGTCAGGGCAAGGCACAGCCATGGGAGACACCCAGGGCGGGGTGCCAAGTTCAAGTCAGTAGGAAGCACCTGGAGTGTTGTAGGCTGGACAACTTGGGTCCTAGCCTCACAGCCAGAGACCAGAAGCAGCCCAAACTGCAGTGGAGCTGAAAACATAGGCTTGCTGGGATTATCCACAGCCCATTGTAATTATATTGCTGGCTCTTGGATCAACCAACTTGGATCTGGGCTCTGTCTACTCTTTTTTCTACCAGTGACAGCAGAGACATTTCCTGTTATAGATATTTTTTCCTCCCTTTATATGCTTTTTTTTCTTCTTCATTGTTCTTGTTTTTATGAGTATAAACATTATTTCTATGTTTTCTGTTGTTTGTTCTGTTCTTGTTCCTGTTTTTCCCTTTCTTCTTTCCCTTTTGTCTTCAAGTTTCCCAAAGCTTTCATAATCTTCTTTTGTCCTTTAACTTTGCTTCTAATTTCTTACTGTCTTCCATTTTTTATTTTTCCTCTAATTCCTTTTAAATTTTATTCCCTGAGGGTAAAATTGCCATAGTGAGAGCCTATTTTCTGCATACAATTTTCTGGTTTATTTTAGACTTTGTTATATAACTACAAATCTTGTTTATATGGTTAAAGGTGGCAAATTAATAATTACCACAGACTGTCATTTTCTAGGCTGTGCTTAATGCTATTGTTATTATTGATTGTACTACATTAGCCCAGGTGACATAGTTGTTCGAATCAGTTATTTTTCCTTGTATGCCAAAACTGAGATTGCCTGAGGGTCATAAACAATACTATGGGCCAGTACTAAAGGAGCAGTGGCTAGGCCAAATAGGTACCAACTTTTCATCCCTAATAAATTTAAGAGGTAGGATCTTGCAATAGATTCAAAACCCAAAGCCAGCTATACCTTAAAGATATCTCTGAAAATTAGTCATTTCCTAAGGATTCTCAATTCTAGTAATAAAGCTACCTATCATAAACAATTTACAAGCATCAAAACAGAAATTAAAGTAAAAGAAAAATCAGAAAATGAGAAGACATGGAAGCAAGATGCAACTTCAGACTTTTAGCTCTGCAAAGGCAAACTTGGGGCAATGAGGTAGAACAATTCACCTGAAAAAGCTGCCTACCTGAACTCTCTAAAGTGGTAACAGTGGGAGAAAAAACCAGATGAATGAAGCTCTAGAAAAAAAATCAAATTAGAAATAATTTCTCAGATAACTAAAGAGATGATGACTGCAGTGAAGGACATGGTTAGTGAATCTAGAGTAGATACAGATAAAAAATAAAGGAGCTTAGGAAAATGTAGAAATCATGAGTGCCCAACAGAGGAATGGAATCTATGAAACAGATTCAAACAGATATCCAGGAGGTTAAAAATTTCATTGAAAGTATATGCAGCAGAATGAGCCAATGTAAAGACAAAATATCAAATATTGAAGACAGGGTTGTGGTTAGTGATAATAAAAGAAAGATTTCTTAAAAATAGAAAAGGACTACAAAAAATCCAACAGCTGCTAAATTATGCAAAGAAGACTAATGTAAGATTGATCAGAGTCAGTGATAAAGTAAGAGATAGTGCAAATGACATAAAAGATCTGCTCACAGAAGTAATTCAAATGAAAATTAGATCCATATCTTTCACCGTGCACTAAACTAAAATCTAAATGCATCAAAGATCTCTATATAAAAACAGAAACACTAAATCTACTGGATGATAGAATAAGTAGAACTCTTGAAGACATTGATGTAGGTAATACTTTATGAACAAAACACCAATCACACCGAAACTATCACAAAGAGTCAACAACTGGGATGACATACAAAACCTCTTCACAGAAGTAGTGGCAGAAAGTTCCTAAGTATTGAAAAAGAATTTAACATACAGTAAGTGAGGCATATAGAAATCCTATTATCCATGATGAAAAAAATCTACACCAAGGCACATAATAGCCAAGATTCCTGAAATACTTTATAAGAGCAGAATATTTAAAGCTGTTAGAGAAAAGAAATAAATCACCTATAAAGGAAAGCCCATCAAAATCACAGCAGACTTCTCAACACAAACTCTTAAATCAAGGAGAGTTTGATGCATTTCAAGCTCTAAAAGAAAGCAACCTCCAACACAGACTGATGTATCTCACAAAGCTATCTTTCAAAATTGATGGAGAAATAAGATACTTTCATGACAAAGAACATCTGAAGAAATTCACAAACACTAAACCAGCACTCCAAAATATTCTGAGGCTATTCTAGAAAGAGATAATGAAGACTACAACTCCATAAATACCAACAAAATGAATCCACCAAGAAAGGTAAGCAATTATACAGAAAGAAGCTAAAGGGAATCAATAACAGGAAAATAACATAAGGATAAGTCAATACATATTAATTATAATCATCAATGTAAATGGTCAAATTCACTAATCAAAAGAAACAAATTGGCAGAATGGATTAATAAATAATATCCAACAATATGCTGCACTTAAGAAACACATTTAACTAAAAAAGGAAATTCCTAGACAGAGTCAGAGGATGGAAAACAATACCTCATGAGACCGGAAATGGAAAAAAGACAGGGGTAGCTATTCTTGCAGACAAAGTGGGTTTCAAACCAAGACTGATTAAGAGAAACAAAGAAGGTCACTGCATACTTATTAAGGGAACAATCCAAGAGGAAGAGATAATAATCATAACTGTATATGGAACAAATAACAGCACATCCAACTACATAAAACAAATATTAATGAACATGAAAAATCAAATAAGCACTAATACAATTGTAACAGGGGACCTTAAAACCCAGCTGTCACAAATAGACAGCTCAACTAGACCAAAAATCAAAAAAGACATGCCAAAACTGAACCAAACTTTTGAACAAATGAACTTAATAGATGTCTATAGTGTTCCACCCCACAACATCAGAATACACATTCTTCTCAGCTGCACATGGGATGTTCTCCAGAATAAATCACATACTAGCTCATAGAACATGCTTAAGTAAATGCAAAGAAATTGAAATTATCCCATGCATATTATCAGACCATGAGGCAATGAAATTGGAAATTAATGGCAAAAGAAACCACAAAAACTGCATAAACACATGAAAATTAAACACTCCCCAACAACCAATGGGTCACAGATGAAATTAAAGAAAAAATTAGACACTTTCTACAATTGAATGATAATACCATTACAACATACTGGAACTTATGGGATACAATTAAAGCAGTCTTAAGAGGGAAATTTATAGAGGTGAATTCCCATATCAGAAAAACAAAGCAAGCTCAAATAGATAACCTAATGTTGAACCTC